GACCTATGCTCTGCTGGTGTCATTTTATGCAAAGTTATAGAAATAGGTGATGTACCAGGGTGTAACTCAACCGTGAAGTCTACCTCCCGATGTGGAGGTAATCCTGGTAATTCGTCTGGAAGAACATCCTCAAACTCACAAGCTACCAAGGTAGACCCAACTCCTGTCTCGCCTCATCCTCCAGAGTAAGGCTCGCAAGCCTACCCATCAACTGCTCGTGCCACCGAGAGTCACACACGGCTTGGGGCAAAGCATCATGCTTTTCCCCTTGAAACTTGAAACAAACACCGTCCTGTGTGTAAGCAGTGACCCTCTTTTGATTACGATCAATGATGACTCGGTGTGCTGCCAACCAGTCCATCCAAAGGATGACATCAAACTCCGACATGTCCGTGACCATTAGGTCCATGGTGAGTAGAATGAGTAGAATTTCCTAAGATCTCTAACTCACATCCCCAACATATTTGATCAATACAAACCTTAGCTCCTGAAGCTGACTTTTCCCATAAGGACTCCTTTAGGGAAATCTATTTCACTAACAAAACGTGAAAATAATGGTATATGACATGGCCGAATCAAATGACACATGTGTTCATAAACAGGGAAGTAATAAATGTATTGTGGGTTGTCGACTGATCCATCGACTCATTTTACAGTGCAACATCGAAGACCGTCTCTTGGGTCCCCGATGTTGCTGCCTGCAAGTCCTATCCTGTGTCCTGGCCCACATCCTGGGCCATTCAGCCTGATTGCGGAGTCCCCCACACGTGACTTACTAGGGGCTTATGGAAGTCCTATGGACAACTAAGATTGAGGTTTTTTGAAACTCTATGAGTTTTGCCTCACACGATAATTTTTCTTCACATGGCCTAGCTGTCAACAATAGAAACATGTTCATGGATGTCCCATAGATGACTAGAACTGTGACATCCCATAGTCTTGGGATCCCTATTTTTGAGGACAATCCCGTTTCATATGACCTAGCTGATAGCAATAGAAACATGCCCTTTGATCCACCTAATAAGTAGTCCTGAAGTTTTCCCCACCTTGGGAGGATTGACCTTGACCTTGACCTTGGCCTTTGATAGTCGTGGCCCTGTCCTAGTGATCCCTGTGCGCTCGATATTTTTTGTTTTTTCCATGGACGTTGGTAGCTCACGAAACTCAGACTCTTTTGGATAGGTTAAGCCCCTTGGCTCATATTGGTGCTTGTCTGTGCTAGGTTAGTAGCCATCGTACCCATAGTCTTTGTAAAGGGTTGTTGGTCAAAGGCCGGTGGTGGTTGGTTATTGTTTCGCCCACCTCCTCAGCCCCGTCCTCTTCCTCAATTTTTCATCTACACACATGTCATATAGCAATAGAGCATTTTCTTAGTATCCCAGGATAGATATCAAGTTCAAACTTTGAAATCTCTCTCCTTGTCTTAGTAGTAGATTATGTGCCATACACTAGTAGACATCTACAACCTGAACTATCTTATTCATTCTTTTCTGAACCCTAAGGTTATGTTTTCTAACCCTAGTATTTCTCTTTCCATATACATTTCACCATGCATATAATTCATATAACATATAACACATGACATGTAACAAGTAAAGCACACAACATGACATTTACAATGAATGCAATGGTCTAGACCCATGCCCTCAAGCCCTAGGTAAATCGTATACCTAAGCTTTGATACCAAGCTATGATGCCCCTAAAACCGGGGGTCATTTGTCAACCCATTAACCAACCATCAACCCGTGGAAGCAGCCATGATTTTCAAACAACCCGACATCACGTCAATAACATTCCCTTAACCGGGATTATAACCCACATGTGTAAACCGTATACATTTTACCATTTGACCCAACCGAGGTCTAATAAACAACAATTTATCCTTATTTAATGTCCATTTATATCCTTTGAACCAAAGAACCCAAAGTCCAAAAGCATGGTATAACATTCCTAAAATTTGAGATTTTTGGAAAACCTACCGGTAGATTAATGTTTTACCCGTAGGTTTTGCCTACCAGACAAAGTTCTACCGGCAGGTTGATATTCTAGTGGTAGGTTAATGTTCTACCTGTAGGATGTGCCTACTGGACAAAGTTCTACCGGTAGGTTGATGTTCTACCAGTAGGTTAATGTTCTATCACTAGGTCAATGTTCAACCGATAGGTTTTGCCCAGTTTCACTTGTTCTACCTGTTTTTCATTTTCAATCCCATCAAATCCATCCTACAACCATTCAAGACATGTTTAATGAAGTTTTTCACATGAAACATGATACAACAAGTTCTATTACAAGCAATTCCATATATTTACATACCAAAATTAAGTTTTCATAATAAATTTGCAAAAAACTCAAAATAAAGCCACATCTCGGCTTTTCCTCCTCCGTAAGAGCCCAAATAAGAGCCATCTACCGGCATGTATCCCGCACCTAAAATATTTTCCCATATAGGATAAGCCATGCTTAATAGAGTATCTCCTATAGAGGGTACTTCCCAACCTGAGTGCATATGAAATGTTTGCATGCAACATTCAAAACGCAACAACCATCTCAAACAAGAATATGCAATTCAATGTTGAAATTTTACCATGTCATGCCGTGAAATGAGATGAGACTCACTCATGCACTTTAACCTGAGCCCTCACTGGCTCCCACAACACATTGCAATGCCAATGTGTAGTAAATTCGTCATTGATGAAATACATCCAATAATCATTTTAAAATAAAAGCAATGTGTTTATAAAAACAAAATCATTGTTGGATGTTACACATCGAATGACTATTTTATAAAACAAAATCATGTGTCATTGTTGGGTAGCGGATCTTTGGAGTCTCACTGCCGACTCCGCACACCGTTACACTTTTCTGAAATTTTGCCACAAGGGAGTGTATGAACCAAGTAGCTGGGTCATGCACTCGAGGTAGAATCTAGCCCTTTTTGCTATACCCGACACAAAATTTTCATGCAACCATGTAACTCAACCAGATCTTTGATCCAACCTTCCTGAGTCCACTTATTAACCATCAAAAATGGTGTTTTATCAACCATGCACACACACCCACACCTATGTCTCATGCCCCTGAATGTGATGCCTCCGTGCATATGCAATTTAATGAACAATTGCAACATTAATATCATATCCATATGTAATGAATGCCATATGGATTATTTCTACCACATTTCAACAGATACCATGGATAATTACATCCCAAGCATATAATCTCCATAAACCATCATAACACCAATATATCATAATCACATATCAACATTTACATTTCCAATTGTAGTTCACATCATAATCATAGGATTCCAATTTACCACTTCATCCAAGCATGTTATCTCAATTTCATCAAAACAACAACTTCAATCATTCAAGGTATTTTATCATTACCTATTCAAGGCACAACTCATGTAAACACATAACATGCTCCAAATTCCACATTTCTCAAGAAATTACATTAAGTAAATTCTACATGCCCAATTTTGTATAAGATTTATTTTACCAATTTCCAATACTCATTTCACCAATCAACAACAATAGGGAAGTGTAAAAAAAAATACATCTAACAACCTACCCATTCCGTATTTTAAACCTAGGTTGGAAATAAACCTAAGTCGGAAGAAAATCCTACCTTTTAAAGCGTAAAACGACGTTGATAAGCTTCAAGAACCCGATTTAAGCTAGAATCTACACTTTCTCCAAATCCCGTCTTGAAAACTTTGGTGAAACCCGTCTTTTTTGGTATGGATGTGTAGCCCTCGTTGAGGTGGACAACAGCTTTTGTTCTTGGCCAGAGGATTCAAGCACTCGATCTCCATAGATCTTAGAGAGAAGGTGGAGGACCCAAGCTTTTTCCCTCTCTTCTTGCTCTCTCTTTTCTATTAGGTAAAAGGCTAAGAGATTTTGGGGAAGAAATCTGATTTTCTTCCCCTTTTTATAGTCTCCAAATACTTGGTCCATAACGCGCCACACGGCCTTCTTTTCTTAGGTCCATTTTCGTCCCGAAACGATTAAATTTCACTCCGGTTGAAGTTCAAAATATTTTTTATTTCAATTTGTTTTAAATTATTTTCCCAAATTTTGAATTCTTATTTAAAATTTCATTTTTGGGTCCCCTGAGGCCCGTTTGTCTTGTAAAATGCAAAAAATCTGACTATCTCAGAATTCGACAAAATTTGTCAGAGTAACTAGATTTTGTAAGACAAATCCAACGGTGCGGTCTGTTTCGTCATCCGAGTTTTAGATAAATTCAAAATTTTCAACCCATGTCAATGTGACAAATTTACCCAGGTTTTACAATTCTACTGTTAGATATTCTTTGGTTTTGAATTGTAAGTTGGAGAAGTTCAATATTTTGTTGGTTTTAGTATTTATTTTTTGTCAGATAGATGAATGGTTTATATTCTAATGGTTATTTTTAGTTGTTCTCATAATTGGATGATTTGTAAATAGTAATGCCTTCCAAGTTAAATTTTTGGGCATTACAGGTTTGGTATCAAAGCTTAGGAATTAGATCTTACACGAGAGCTGTAGGTTATGGACTATAATTGGATTATTTGGTTAGGTTGAAGAAATTTTAGGCTTGAATTTGTTTGAAGTTATCTATATAATAAAAAAGAATTGTGTTTAAATTTTTATCCTACACACATTTTTCCTCTCAAAACAATATTATCACAGCTATCACCTCACTGTTAACGTTACTCTACCCTCACATGCCCAGCCCGATACACAGCGCATGCATTGGTTGGTTCTGACAGAAGATCAAGCACAAAGTGCAACACTCAATGGCTACTCTTGCTCCCTCATCCTCTCCATTTCACTTCTCTATCCTCCAATCTTTCTCCGCCTTCACTCATTTCAATTCCACGTTTATCACTCTTTTACTACCCCTCCTCCTCTGCTTACCCTTCTTCTCTATCTTCCTCTCTCTTCATCTCTCCTCCTTTCCTCACTCACCCCACAAGTTCCAGACCACTTTCTCTCTCCTCCTTCACTGTGAAGGCCAGTTCTGTAGATAGAAATAAGGTTCTCACAATCAATACCCACAGTGGTGGGCATGCAGTCATTGGCTTCTACTTTGCAAAAAACCTTCTAGGTTCTGGCCATGAAGTCACCATAATGACCGTTGGTGAAGATTCTTCATTCAATAGATTCTCCGTGAACATTTCAACATTATATACATACAAATGGGCACACACGGCTAAATTTACAGGAATACTCAATTTGTGCTTCATTCTTTGTGGTCTATAGTGGGTATCTTGAAACTTTTGAAATCTAACAAAGATACTTAACATTTATAGAAAAAAATACATACATACTTATCTGGGTATTTGATACTTTTTCAAGAAATAGTAAGCGTTGGTGGGGATCCCGTAGAAATTGATAAGGTTTTGAAGGGGGTAGCTTTTGATGCAGTGTTGGATAACAATGGCAAGGACTTGGATAAAGTGAGGTTTGTTGCTTTTGACATTTGAAAATTGGATTTCGAATCACAGAGTTTCTGATTAGCCTTATACAATGTCATGTCACTTGATTATATTTATAAGTCTTGTGTAAATTTTATTTAGGCTTCAAAATTACCATAAAACTTTAAAGGCAGGCTTACATGCAGTCCAACGGTTTGATTGATTTCACAGTGAGGACCATGCTTAATATACCATTTCAAACAAAAATTCTTTTTTTTTGTTGATAAGCAAAAATGGGTTGGGGCAAAGAGAGAGCGTCTAAAGACCATCCAATAGATTATTATTGATGAGATCATGAGGCTTTTAACTACGCCCGTTACTCCTCTCGGGAACGAATGATTAGTATTTATTTCACTAATTAAAGCAAAGGACAGAAAATGTTCCAAATTTAAGTTAGAATAAGTTTTGAATAATAAGGTTATGGAAATTTATGTGTGTTGCTTAAAAATCATAGAAATTAAGGAATGAATGTAGTTTTGGTTTTACAATATGAACCACGAGAGTGTTTTATGCTTTCCTCTAGGGTGAGTATGATGGTATAAGATAGTATAATTCTCAAATATGATCAATTAAAGGAATATGGTGAAGTAACATCAAATGAGAGCCAATTTTGGAATAGCAATAGGAATTGTGGTTATGGTTCTTAAATGGATAAGAGTTTGTTTTCATAACCATAAACTTGAGGTTACCAATACTGGTTTGAAAATATTACGGAGAGTTGATTAAATTTACGTTGGAAGTATTGATGGTTTAGAAGGGTCATACATAGGATACTCATTGAAGACGTTATACTTAAGTAATCTTATTTTGTTGTGGGCTTAGTTTACTACACTTAAACTCTCTAAAGTATTAATAATCGAGAATCTCTTGGTTGAGTGTATAGTAAATAGCTAACTTTTATTTACAAATTTTGATTAAAAATATGAGGTCGAGTTATGGAAACGAATTTATAGACATATAAAATGGGATATTTAGGAAGTCTAATTAAATTGTAGTAGTTACCTTTGACCCTCTATAGTGTAGGATTAAAGATTATAGAGATTTAAAAGCTTGAGGTCAGATGTAGTAGACAATTATTGAAATATGGATGATTTCAATGTTTGGTGTTAACTTCTATCATTATATGGGATTTTTAATGTTATTGGAGTTGTGTTGGGGGAATATGAAGTTATTTTTCCTTGTATCTTTTAGTACATCATTAAGATAGGTTTGATTAGTTATACTTGAGGATTGCTAGTATGCATACTGAGGATTCAAACTTTATGGTTAGTGGTGATAATTGGAAAGATGTAATTTGAGGAATCCATAATGATACGTATGCAAATTGTCTTTGACATGGATGTAGAAATTTTATGTAATTTGTTAGATAAATGACTATGGTTATCCTACTAATTACCAGATCATTATTATCTCAAGGATTATCAATAATTGTTAAGCTATGATAACTTTTGTAGTTAAATTGAAGAACATTAATTGAATTATTACAAGAAATTTGGTAGTAGTTAATTGATAGATATTCTGGAACCCATGGTAGTCTATCTTTACCTTTTAGTATATTACAAGAAATATATTTTATCAAATTGTATCATAGGGATTCAAGAATATATGCATCGTGAAAACAATAGAGAGGTCAACGAAAGCCACTAAGGATTGACTTTATGATTTGTTGATTATAGCTTAAGGGTAGAGATTAAGAAGGAATGTTTGGGAGATAGAGAAAATGATTAGTTTTAATCGAGTTACTGAATAATGTGAAGATATTAAGACTGCTTTAATAGTAAGAATTTGAATGCATGTGAGTTATGGATGGGATTTTAAGCCTTATTGTGGACTAAAAACAATATTTTAGAGCTAAAAATTGACTCATTGCTCAAGTAGTATATTTATTTATTTACAAAAATTTTCTTTGGAGGAGAAAGATAGATCATTAGTGAACACATTTTGGAAGCTATAATCAAAGAACATATATGGTGAAACATGACATTTCTTCATAAAACCTTACGAACCAATGAGAATTCTTATCTTGAGGGTAGTTTCTACTTAATGATTATTGGATTATTCTTTATATCAAAGTGTAAACCCCACACTTTTATCTTTATACATGTATGTAGGTTTATACAGCAAGTTATTATTTCTTTTGAAATGTTAATATGGAAATTCAAGGAAATAGTAGTTAAAGCTTAGTTTAGCTTGCAAAAATAAGAAATCGTTGTAATAGCACTTGTACCAACTAGGTTTGATGTACAAAAGCATGTTGAATAAGCTTGGGTTGGAATTGGAAAGGTTTGGAATGGATTGAAAATGAAAAAGGGAGGTTTTGTAGAAAAATAGATAAAACCTTCCGGAAGGTCGATAATAAACCTTCCGGAAGGTTAAGGTAAAAGATTTAACCAGTAGGCAAAACCTTCCGGAAGGTCTCTAGAAAAGTTGGCCTAATAGGCAAACCTTCTGGAAGGTCGATGAAAATGTTTGTCCAGAAGACAAACCTTCCGGAAGGTTAAGGAAGATGATCGTCCAATAGACAAAACCTTCCAGAAGGTCGACAACAACCTTCCCGAAGGATAATGAAAATGGTTTGTCAAATAGGCAAACCTTCCGGAAGGTCAACGAACAACCTTCCGGAAGGTCTTCGAAAAATCTAAAAATTTAAGTCGTGAATAGTCGGCTTTCCTTTCACTATAAATACTTAAGGATAACCCCTTTAGCCCCATTTCAACACTCAAAACCCTAGGAGACCTTAGAGAGGAGTAAAGGAAGAGAAAAACACAAGATCAAAGGGGATTTCAACTTCAAGAAGATCGAAACCTAGTCTTTTCAAGAACATCAAGGTAGGGATTTTCTTCCATTCTTGTCCATTGAGGCTAGTGCTTAATTATATGTATTTCTTTTGACTTTAAATCTTATATATATACTATGAAATCATATTTTCTTGATCTTTTGCAATTATTAGCCTAAACAAAGTTAGGGTTGAATATCCATGAAATCTCATATTTCTTGATATAAAACCCTAGTTTTCAAAAGAGATGGACTTTCTTCTTAATTCTTCCTTTGTTCTTGACTTTGAAACTTTAGTGCTTGGTGATGAGTAATGAAATGATGTTGAGATGATCTCTTGCTTATTTTCCTAGATTGTGCTCTTGGATTACAAATTGTGAAATTGGAGATTTATGGAATTGTTTGTTATTTGAGGACATTGTTGGAATTGTATCTCTTGTATGGTTGTTGTGATGGACTTGAATTGCATTCGAGCACTGCCGTAGAGTGTTAGACATTAGTCTATCCCAGTGGAGGGTGAGATGGTTTCCTAACACTTGTAGTGGTTTGTTGTTTGTGAGAGCAATCACNACATTAGTCTATCCTAGTGGAGGGTGAGATGGTTTCCTAACACTTGTAGTGGTTTGTTGTTTGTGAGAGCAATCACTATTGTTCACGTAAGTTCGAGGCTGAGGGTGGGTATACCTTTCTTAGGAAGGATTCGTCAATGCCGTGGAAGACGGTATATGCCCTTCCTAAAGTGGTTTGTGTGGTTATGGTTGGGTGAACGAGGTAGAGTCGTTGTGTAAATCCATGGGAAACAACCAACATGCATGAGAACATATTTATTGTGTGGAATTGGTTTCCTACAAGAGCTTGTGGAGGTATGGGACTCTACAAGAACTTGTGGGAAATGGCTTATGGTTAGAAATGGTTTATTGTTTGGAAATTCCTTTTTACTGTTCATTCAAATTATTACTATTGCGTAAACTTGAGATCTACTGAAATGTTCCTGTTTTCTTTCAAAAATTAATATATGATATTTGCAAAATGAAGCCGACTTGTTTTTACATGCTTTCTAAACCTTGTATGAGTTTGGGAGAATGTTGCTACAGAGCTTCGTGCTCACCCCCTACAAACTATATTTTTCAGATTGTGGTCTAGAGGAAGAGCTCGGGGTTGAGGAACTGACACATTGGGGAGCTCCATTAGACGGGCTCACGGATCCCGAGGTGGATGTCTAGAGTTATACTCTCCTAGGTGCTAGACTAGAAAATTTCTTTTGAGATTTTGTAAAGACTAACTGTTTGTTATTCCGCTACAAGTTTAAATGTGATTCTTTTGCGATGTAATTATCATAGTCGATCACATTCTTTTGGGATGTAATGGCCATGGTTGTCCTATTCTCTTGGGATAATATTGTAAATGTTATATTGGATGAATGAAATATCTTAAATGATGAAATTATTTAGTTGTTCTCATGCGATGAATGGTTTTTAGTTTATAATGCCGTCTAGGGTGGATTTTGGGGACACAAAGTGTGCAGTGAAACATTGGATTAGTTTTAATATTAGTCGAATTAACCATTAGTTACGGTTACAGTAGTGCATGTAGAGAGTATAAACTTGAAGAATGAGATTCAATTTCCTAGAAAAATTGGTGTATTGTTTGATGGTTATAATTGTTGGGAATCTTGCGGTGTCCACCGAACCACATAAAATGACAAGTGTCCATAAGATGTGAAGTTATTATTAGAACTTAAATATTATGAGTTTCTCTAGTCTAGTGAGAGATAAAGTCATTAATAAGGATACATCTATTTAAATAATCATTGTAGATCTTTTCGTAATGGTATTACTAAGTTATGGATTATACCATAATTTGAGTATATGAACGATGAGTAATCCTATTAGTGAAATTGAATTTGGTTTTTTTTTAAATATTGGTAAATTCAAAGAGAAGTGATATCTGATGAACGTGCAATAATTTGAAGATCAAGTAGTTATGCATGATATGGAATTAGTTTAGACAATCACATGAAATTATTAAGTATAAATAGTAATCAAAAGTAGTGAATAAAGGTAAAATTAGGGGCTTCACTAACTGCAATATTGATATAATTTGAAGGGATGGATTTAAAATTTAGGATATGATGTTTTATTTTAATCTTGGATTTGATGCTTAAAGGATGAATAGAAGTAGAGAAATCATGGCCAAATGAGAATTAGACTAA